AAAATGACTCGACAAAATTTTTCAGGTTTTTTTTTTTTTTAAATAAATTTCTATACGTATCGAACCGAATGTATGTAAATTATTTCACGTACAAACGATGTTTCCGCGGGGTTATCATCACAACAAACAACAACAACAACAACAGATAATCAATCAATTATATTTACATGAAAAAATTAATAATAATAATAATAATAATAATAATAATAATTTTCTTATTTTAAAATTAATGGTTTCTTTTTAACTAACGAATTGCTAATTAATACAACATTAAATTAATTTCGTTTACGTGTAGTTGAAGGTTTTCAAGACCCACTATTATTATTATTATTATTATTATTATTATTATTATTATTATTATTATTATTATTATTATTATTATTATTATTATTATTATTATTATTATTATTATTATTATTATTATTATTATTATTATTATTATCATTATTATTATTATTATTATTATTATTATTATCATTATCATTATTATTATTATTATTATTATTATTATTGCATTCATCAGACTATAAAATTAATACACATTAATTATATTTTATTTTACAGTCGATTTTTATATCCGGGCATCGTGTCTCTCATGGCAGCTTCGACGTGTTTTCCACTCGGTTTGGGTCGTTACATGGCCGGAGATCTGAGCACGCACGATCAAGTAAGTAAACGAATTAATTTTTTTTAATTATGTTGATAACGTTATCAATTTCCTCGTACGATCAGGTAGCATCCTTGTTTACAAATTTCACGTGGACGAAAAGTGAATTCACCGTCGAAGAAGTTGAAATATTGAGACACTGGAGCACGGATCACAGCAACGTATTCGTCAGTTTGGGAGGATTTACATTGTTCACGGTAATTTTTTTTATAACAATATAAATTATTATTATTATTATTTTTCATTAGGTTAATTGGCTAATATATTTTTTAGTTTGTTTTTTCGATAATCGGATCGACGATACCCGTACCTTCGGGTAGTTTTATACCAGTTTTTAAAATTGGGGCTGGAATCGGACGAGCCATGGGTGAACTCATGCACATTTGGTTTCCCTACGGCGTACGTTACGGAGGTTTTATCACTCCCATAATTCCCGGTTTGTACTCCTTTTTTAGAAATTATTTAAAAAAAAAAAAGGGAATAATCATATTATACTCTTTTTTAAGGTGGTTACGCAACGGTTGGAGCAGCAGCATTTTCAGGAGCGGTAACACATTCAATATCCGTATCCGTTATAGTTTTTGAAATGACCGGACAAATAACTCACATCATTCCAATCATGGTAAATTTCTCCCTTATTCATTTTTATCATTTTAATTAATAATATTTTGCGTGACGTCATCAATTTTAGATTGCAGTTCTTATTTCTAATGCCACGGCGGCTTTACTTCAACCCTCGCTTTACGACAGTATTATTCTAATTAAAAAATTACCCTACCTCCCCGATCTTCTACCATCCAGTTCAGGTAATGTTTAATTTTATTTTTCCCCTCCCCCTCCCCCCTCATTAATCGTTCATAATCAAATATGATATTTTTTTCCCCGTTAGGAATGTATTCTATATACGTTGAAGATTTTATGATTCGTGACGTCAAATACATTTGGAACGGTATGACGTATAAAGAATTGAAAAACATTCTTCAGGAGAATAGAAATTTAAGAGGTTTTCCGCTGGTTGACAAACCGGAATCCATGATTTTATTAGGTTCGATGCAACGATTAGAACTTAGGAGGTTAATACAAAAACAAATCGGAAGGGAAAGGAGGTTGCAAGTTGTTGCAAAATGGCAGAAAGAAGCTCAACAACGGTGAGAAGTTTTTAAATTTTTTTTACAATTATTATTATTATTATTTTTTTTTCTCCAAAGAAATGAAAAATTTTTTTTATTTTATAGGGTAATGGAAGAACTCGAGAAAAAAATGCAAGAAGCAAATAATAAAAAACAAAGAAGACCTTCCAGATTTGAAGTGGTGCCAACAAAAGATGTCATTAATTCGTTAAATACTTTACCCAGTCACGATTTTCATTATTCGACTCAGGTTCTTACAAATAACCTAACCTTTAATAAACCTGAATGGATTCTTTGGAAAATTAAAATTTTTTTTGTTTTTCCAGAGACATCATCATCCAGTTTTCGGTATACAACCGAAGAAATCCATATTGAAAAAAACAAATTCATTTAATTTAAGAGATTCTGGTTTGTTGACACCGCCAAGAGGTACACCGTACTCGACAATCACCGGAGCAGAAAGCAGGTATAACACCCTCACTTCCGGTGTAATGGAGATTCCAAAAAATTTATTTTAAATATAATATTTTTTTTTAAATTTTAGAATAAGATTAGCTTTCGAAGCCATATTTAAAAAATCGACAACACTTCAAGATGTCAATCCGGATCCGGAAGCTGGAGAAGAACTTAAAATGACGCCGATAAACGACGTGACTGTAATAAGAGAAACAAATTCTGGAATGGCGACACCCATAGGTCACACAAATTTGAAAAAAGTTCAACTGGTAATTAATTAATAAATAAATAAAAAGTACAAAGTCCCCCCCAAAATGAAAATAAAATCCGATAAATTTTTCAGCCGAGGGAAAGAGTCATCGATATGTCACCAGAAGATCAAAAACAATGGGAAGAAGAAGAAATGTCTGTACCTGTAAATTTCGAATCTTCACACATTGATCCAGCACCTTTTCAATTGGTCGAAAGGACTTCCCTGTTAAAGGTTCATTCGTTATTCAGTATGGTTGGTGTTAATCATGCTTACGTGACAGCCATTGGAAGGCTCATCGGAGTCGTCGGATTGAAAGAAGTGAGAAAAATTTCTTTTTTTTTTTTTTTTTTGTTTACAAATCAAGAATCCTGTATCACGTGGTTCGCTACCACGTGGTTCATTAAAAAAAATATTGATTATATATTATTATTTTTATACAACAGTTGAGGAAAGCGATCGAAGATGCAAATTCTGGTAATTTCACATCGAATCAACCCGCAAACAAAGGAGGAGGAGGAGACAATGAAGAATTGATAGCAAATTCCAAAGAGGATTCTAAACCGGAAGACACTCTTGTGATCGAAACCAATAAAGAAAATTTATAATGACAGGAAGTAAAAGTTTTACTAGCACGAAGATTTTCGATCTCTTTAGTAGAAGAAGAAAATGGAGGATCGTATATAATCCTAGATACTTAAATGTCGAATGTTTTTTTAGGTATGACTAGGGATTGATTGATTGATTGATTGATTAATAAATATTCCAAAGTTTTTAATTAATTAATTATAAAGAGGTTGTTTTATTCTATGGGTTGTGAATAAGATTGTCGAATGCTTATCTCCAAAAAAAAAAATTGTGTGATATATCAATAATGATTACAGGCACAAATCAAGAACAAAATATTTGTAAGTTTTTTTCTTCTGATGCATAAAAAAGGTACAATTAATAAAAAAGAGAAAGATGGTACGCTTATTTAGTTAAATAAATATTTTTATTACTTCACTTTTTGCAAAAGTTTTAATAAATTCTTACATTGAATACATAACAATAGAAATTTTTATACGTATATATATATATCAGAAAATTTTTCTTCTCGATTTTTCATACACATAATTTAACTTAAATTGGCTGTGTATTTTATTATTATTATTATTATCATGTAATATATGTTATGTAGTTTTATTTTATAGTTTTTATGTTAGATAATAATAAATTATTACTTTTAATATTAGACAATTGTAATATAATGACAATAAATTATCAATCGGTAATAATAATAACTCTGTGTGAGAGAAATTAATTATTAAACATGAGGTCCAACAGTTCCTAACCTTTTGTAATCGATTTTTTCCAATTGAACTAAAGGTTTTAATTGTTCAGCAAAACTTCTCATGTCTTCTGCTATTGCATCTTGTCCACTCGGTGCTAGAACTGATAATTCTACTAAATATGATTGAGATATGGGTTCAACATTTTCTGGAGGTTTGACTTGACCCATCTGTAAATATAATAAATGTAATAATAATTTTTACCTTTTTAGATGAAGGAGATTAATAATAATAATAATAACCTTGAATATTTTTGACACTGTAATTTTCATTCGTCCTTTTCTAAACATATAACCTTTAACTATATATTCGAAATCCATTCGACAACCCAATTCAGTAAGGAATTCTACAACTGTAGAACTAGTTCCAACATCGATACTACTCCTAACAATTGTAGGCCTAGTTTTGTCTCCTTGGGGACCTAATTCAGGTTGTCCAATGTAACGAAGTTGCCAAGGCATATCCGTACAATCTAATGCTCTACGAACTCGTAATGAGAGAGGTGCTGGCATTGTTGAACTTCCTTTAAAAAAAAAAAATTGCAGGAAGAATATTGCAATAAAATACCAAATTAAAAAAACTTACTTATGCTGAAACACATTTCATGATCATAAAAAGTTTCAGGTCCCGAATCGACATTATCACACAAACCCCTTAAACGGTGCAATAAAACTTCTACGGCTGAATCTAAAACACTTCCTTGTAATAAATATTCCTGATTTGGAACAATATTATTTTTTAAAGCTACTGAAAGATTTTCCATTGCCGTACTTAACGGCAAATTAAAAGTCATTTTTTTTATTGTACTCTTTAAATTACTTTTAAAAAAACAAAAAAAAAAAAAAAAATTATAATTTATATCATGTAAACAATAACAAAACGAAAAAAGTTTACAAAATAAAAAATCAATGTTGGCAACGCTGAATAAAAAAAATAAAATTTTCGATTTCACAAATTTTTTCTTTCTTTTTTTGCCGTGGGTTTGTTTTTTATCAAATTTTGATCAAGAGTACTGAATCAAGCATTCTATTTCATTTTGTTCTATTTTGTTTGTTATTTGAATGTTTTAACAAATTGAAGGAATAATAATCCACCATCTTTTTTTATAATTATTCTTTACATTGTTTATATCCGTTATGGATGATTATGAAGGTAAGGTAAGAATAAAACTGGCAACCAATTTATTTCATTTTTTTTTTTTTTGAACCAAATTACGATCGTTACACAAAGCGCAGGTTTTTTGTTTTTATCATATTTTATTTCATACGTTCGGCATCAATTTATTATTTGTTCAATCGTGTAATTTCTTTTAACTATCGATAATTATATTTTCTCTATAATTTAATCCTCGAATCAAAATCTTAATTTATATATTTTTGGGGTTTTACTTGCCAAGTTTTCTTTTTTTTTTCCTCAAATTTTACTCATAGCATTTCCTTAATAAAAAAAAAATTTATTTGACAACTAACATTCATTTAAATGCTAATTATATAATTAAGTTTTTTTTTTTTTTTTTTAAAAATTTTGGTTGTGCATTTAATTTTTTTTTATTTAAAAATGTCGATTTATAAAAAATAATTGTTGGGTTTTAATAATATATATATATACATTTGATTTTAGAATATGGTGGTGAAGAATATGTTGACAATACAGTACATGAAGGAAGGCAGATTAAAAAAGGAAATATTCTTCCTTTATGGGGTAATGAGAGAACAATGAATTTAAATCCTTTAATATTAACAAATATACAATCTTCTTATTATTTTAAAGGTTAGTGTTAAAAATATTCAAAAGTAAGTGTTGACAATCGTCATTTTTTTTATTTGATCTTTTTATCGAGAAAAAAAGTTGTTTTTTATAAATTGAATAATAACATATTAATAATTTTAAATCATCTTGTTTAGACACACAGTTGTATCGAAAGGAAAACTTATTAATATTAAAATAAAAATTAAAATGATTTAGTTATATTTTTTATTTTTTTAGTAAATTTATATGAATTAAAAACATATCGAGAAGTTATAGATGAAATTTTTTATAAAGTAAATCATCTTGAACCATGGGAAAAAGGAAGTAGGAAAACTGCAGGGCAAACAGGCATGTGTGGAGGAGTAAGTTTAGATAATCACTCAAAACAAAAAACAAAAAAAAAAAAAAAAAAAAAAAAAAAAAAACAAAAAAAAATACAAAAAATTTGTAATGTGCAATATTCAATATGGCCGTTAATTTTTTTTTAGAATGAAAAAAAATTTAGAATATTTTCTTATACCATGTTGAATTTGCATTTACAAAATAATATTTATTTAGCCAAAGAAATCATAAAATGGTATTTTATTGATAGTTTGGCAGTTGTGCAAGTGGAAGCATTTGGATTGCTATTGTTTATAGGTAAGAGGAGTTGGAGCTGGGGGTATTGTTTCAACAGCTTATTGTCTACTTTACAAATTGTTTACTCTACACTTAACAAGAAAACAACTTAACGGATTAATTAACCATAGAGATTCGCCTTATATTCGAGCTTTGGGCTTTATGTACATAAGGTAATTATTTTTTTTTTTTTTTTATTAATTCCATTAAACTTATTATCATTATTATTATTATTATACCATTATTTTCAGTTAAAATAAACCCTCCATGTTCATTTTTTTTATTTTATTATTCAGATATACTCAACCTCCTGCTGATTTGTATGATTGGTTTGAAAATTATCTCGAGGATGCAGAGGTTTGTATTTTTCATTCACAATTTTTTTTTTTTTTTTTTTAATTCAAAACTTTTCTTTTAATATTATTATTATTATTATTATTATTACAGGAAATGGATGTAAAAGCTGGCGGCGGTCAAATAATGACCATCGGTGATATGCTTCGCCATTTTCTAACCAAATTAGAATGGTTTTCAACATTATTTCCTAGAATCCCCGTGCCCATACAAGTAATATTTCTTTTTAAAAACTATTTAAAAAAGGAAAAACTTGAATATAAATAATAATTTTTACTTTACAGCAAAAAATAGAAAGAAAAATAAATGAAAGATTTCCACCGCACGCTCAAAATCGTCAAAAAAATCAAGGATTTGATTCAAATCACGAAGCCAGGCACATTCCCGATGACGAAGTTTCCTTTGGCGAAGCTGAAAAATATTCAAGAAGGTAAAATTTTTTTTTTAGTTGCTTTTCAGTTGCTCTTTAAAACGTTTTCGACAAAGTTTTTATATTTATTATCAGTGGCTTAATGGGACGAAGCAACGATCGACGTGGTGATCGTTACAATCGTGGTGGTGGTGGTGGCGGCGGAGGTCAAAGTTACCGGGATCGTAGTCCGGGAAGAAACGATCGGTATAGGGAAAGAGAAAGGAGTAGTAGATATGATGATAGAAGAGATCGTGATAGGGGAAGAGACAGAGATAGAGATCGTGATAAAAAGTATAGTAGACACGGTAGAGATAGAGATAGTAGGTGAGTAGGTTTAATTCGTTTCAAAAAAAAAAAAAAAAGATGGCCGATCCCAAATTCATTTTCAGTTGACAACGAAAACAACAAAAACAAGTCGAATTTTTTTTATTTTCAGTAGGAGAGATTATGCTGATGAATTAGCTAGAGAAAAAGAAAGGCAAAGAAATGAAAAAGATAGAAATTACACGAGCTCAAGGTAAAAAAAATTTGACAGACAAACAAAAAACAGCTGATGACAATAACAACAACAATAATAATAATAATACTTTTTTTTTTATTAATTTATTATTAATTACAAGTATAAAAAGTTATTAAATTTTTATTTTTATTTTTGTTTATTATTTATTAGACAAGGGCACAGTAGCAGATAAAATTTATTCGAATAACCATAAATGATCAAATTTGGGGGAAAAAAAGAAGAAAAAAAAATTCAAAATTATCATTTCCAAAAAAAGGTTTGTATTTATTTATTCCTTTTAATAATTTTCTCGTTGTAAAAAAAGAGAGAAAGAGAAAGACGAAAAACATTTTTTTTCTTTGTTTTTTAAAGCTCATCGTGAAAACTTCTACCCGTATCAATCATTTTACTACCCAAAAACAAATCGATTTTATTGAAAATTTCATTCAATGAAAGTCTACCATCTTTATCAATGTCGGCCAAACTAATCAAAGTTTCTGCTTCTTCCTTTGCGTGCCTTGGATTTTTTGGATCAATGTAAGTCTTAAAACAAAAAAATCGTACGAGTTTAAAATTATATATATATATATATATATATATAAATAATTAAATAAATCAATTTTTGTATAAAATAATAATAATAATAATCCTTACCAAAACTTCTTTTCTCGTTGCTTTACCATCTTTATTCAAATCGACAACATCACGAAATTCTTTTCTTCTTTCTTTTTCTTCTCGTGACATGGCTTCCGACAACGCGTGATCTTGATCATCATCATCGTCGTCGAATCGAAAAGTTGAAAATTCATCTTCTGTTAATATTTCATCACCATCTCGATCTGAAATGAATGAATGAATGAATGATTGATTGATTGAATTTTTGTCATTCTACGAGGGGTCGTACGTACCGAATTTTTTATATATTTCATCTACTAAAGAAATAATTGTCGAATAACTCGATTCGGGATGTCTAAACGATAGAAATTCATCGAGTGTTAAATGATTCGGATCCATTTTGGATGTTTCGCTCCACGATGCTTTATCTCTCATAATGGCTTCTTCTAATCTTCTCGGCATTTTTTTACGATGTATAATTTTTTCGACGCCATTACCCGTATATTCTAAACCGTAACTACTATCGTTGTAACCGTTTTTTTGTAAAAAATACGAATGATATTCATTCCACGATACCAAACCTCGTAAAAAAACAAAAATATTATCATTATTGCAATTAAAAGTTTGTTGTTAGAAAATGATTAATAATATTATTATTATTATTATTATTATTATTATTATTATTATTACCATTTTTTGGATTTACATCCGTTATTAAAAATATTTTATAATTTTCAACGATGGATTCGTGTATGTGTTCTTGCGTTTTCATATTTATCCATTTTGATAGTTCTTCGGTATTTAAATAATTATCGTGATTTATATCCGCTCTAAAGTCACAAAAATTCATTTATAATGAAATATCAAGAGAATAATAATAATAATGATAATGATAATAATAATTACTTTTTAAAAACTTCTTCGACGGTGTAAAAAGATTGCATTAATTCTTTTTCACTCGTATGAATCTCTTGGATTTTTTTCACATTGTGTAATTTGTGTAAATAATCAACGATATTATTATAAATTTTCGGAGTCGTTTCGTTATTACGATGAGAATGAGAATATTTTAATAATTTTCCATCTCCCTTTAACGGAATTCTAAAAATTTTAACTAATATAAATATAGTTACGTAAAAAATTAACGAAATTCCAATCGACCATTTAAATGATTTTATCGTTATTGATTTTATTCCAAACGTTACGGCTCGTATTTCCATATTAAAAATTTTTCATTTTTTTTTTTTTACATAAAAATAAACAAACATTTATTTAAAAACTTTTATTAATATAATTATTTTTCATTAAAAATAAATAAATAAATAACGAACGACATGTTTTCAAAATACGACGGGGTTTTTGAAAGAAAAAAAAAAATCGATAAAAAAAAAAAATTTCGATTTATCAAGTTTTTTTCATTTTCATTTATCAAAATTTTGATAAAAGTTATAAGTTATATTTTTTCAAAGTTTTGCAAAAAAGGCGCCATTTTTAAATCAATTGTATGTATGTAATTTGAATTTTGTTTGTGTCTTTACTTATAAATTTTTACATTTGTCGCGTTTTATTTGAGGTAAAATTAATTTTTGATATTTGAAAGGATGTTAATAAGTAAAATAAAACGAATAAAATATAAATTTTTATTAAAATATGTTTACAAGAGTAAAAAAATATGATTGATTGGTATTTAATACAACTGTTATACATTTAATTCAATATGTATAATTTTTATTTTTTATTTTGTTTATTGTGGAAAAAAGACTTTTGATTGACTGAATTTTTTTAAAATTCTACTTGTAAATAATACAAAAATAATTTTTTTTGATCATTATGAGTATCACAAATAAAAAAAGGAATATTTTGTTTTTTCTTTTTATTCTGGAAATATGTCACTGTAAGGAACTTTTGTGAATATTCTATTTGAAATTTCAGCAAAAGCAGCACCGAAAACATCTTGAATTGACGGTTTGAGTTCAGCTAAAATTTCATTCCAATTCTCGTTTAAAAATACGTTCATGTTGTCACCTAAAATGAACAATTTAAAACATAATTTATTATTTTACGAACGTCATTTTCGAAGGTTCGCCCCATTAATCATTGCAAACGATTATTCGTCGTGATCGGAACCGGCGCGCCATCTATATTTTAAATTTGGCAACACCGCGTAGGGATTTTTGGCGCCAAAGTTTTAATCATCACGTACATTTGTTTACATTTGTTTGCAAATTCACGTTAAAAATATTATCATCAAAAAAAAAAAAGTAATTAAAAATTTTTTTTTGTGTATTTTTTTTTTTTTTAATAATTACCTAATTGTTTATCTCCATTGAATAAATTGTCAAATTTCATAGATAATTTTGTCGTATCGAATTTAAAATCAAATTGATCGGCTCTCATAAAAATTTTTCCATCTTTTTTAAATTCTTTTCCAATGATATTTATTTTAGCAACGACGTTATCTTAAAAAAACAAAAAAGAAATTTATTTAAATGAAAATAACGAACTGTATTACGTAAGGCGTCGTTTCATAAAAAAAACAAAATAATAATAATAATTTTTATGAATTATTACAACAGTAGATAGATTTTTATGACCGTAATTATTTTTTTTTTTTTTTTACAGTTTATTTATTTACTTATTGTTTTTGTTAAAGTCATCATTATTAATGAATTAGATAAAAAATGTTATTTGTGTATAAAATTAATTTTTCTTTTTATATTTTACAGTAAATATTTTTCATGACTCACCTAAATTCAAAGCACAAGTTCCATTACCAGTTATTGGTAATATTAATACTTTACCATTTATACCATAATTTCCTTTTAATACAACCTTAGGAACTTTAGCTGTTGCTGAATATTTATAATTTTTTATATCATACCTAATTTTATATAGAAAAAAAAAAATTTTAATTCAAAATTTTTTAAAATTACTTAATAACTTTAAAATTTAAAATTCAAATGATTTTTATCACACACACACACATACAAAACCGGTTATTCCATCACTTATCAAAATTATGGTTCAATAAACCTTGTTGAAAAAATTTAATAATTAATATGTAAAAAATACATACTTAATATCACTGAGTTTAGCATCTTTAAATCCGACAATTTTTAAATCTTTAAATTTTAATTTAATACTTATTGGACCGCTTCCTTGATCTATATCTAATTCAATTATTGAAAGAGGATCAATGGAGTATATTCCCAATGGCGGATACCCTGTGTGTAAAATTTAAGTTTATAAAGTAAATAAGTTGACAAGTAGTTAATTATTACTTATCCAAATGTTAGATTTGATGTTCTAGAAACTTACAAATTAATTATTAACCCATAATTATTGTAATTTCCACTCTTTTCATAAATGATTTTCTACCATTAACAATATACATATTTAACAATTTGTTGTTTTTTCTAATCAAATAAAACCGATATACTCTTTTTAATTATTAATAAATTTAAAATATAATTTAAATATAATTAAATAAATAATTCAAACGGGATTGTAAAATTATAATTACATTTACTTTAAAAATTGAATTATTCAAATGCGCGTAATTGTAACGATAATAAAAAATGGCGGGTCAAATTGTTTTGTTTTGATTCTCGTGACACGACAGATTTAAAAAAGTTTCTTAATTTATTTAATATATGGAATATTACGTTATTAACGTTTTTAATGATTTTCGTTCGATAATGACAAATTAATTCAAAATTACAAACATTTTATAAATTATGACAAAAGTAAATTATTACAAAATATTATTAAAAAAAAACTTACCTTTAACTAAACTTTTAATAGCTTTTTCTACAGCGTTTAATAAACAAACATCATATTTCGGTTGTTTTGTGTGACATATTTCAAACGAAGGAGCTTTAAATTAAAAAATTAATTTTTGTAAAAAAAATAGTTTTTAATTTAAAAAAATGTACGATAATAATACTTACGAAGTTTTCCCGAAGCAGCAGCAGCAGAAGAAGTTAACGTTAAATGAGAAAAATGTAAAAAACCAAAAATGAAAAAAAAACCCGATGTATTCATATTGAATGCCAAATGATAATTGAACTGAAATATAATTTTTTTTTTTTTTTTAGATGCTGTATAAAAGATTTCAAAAGTCATCATCTTGACCTCTAATATAAATTACTTAATATTATTATTATTACGATGTTTTCTAAGAGTTAAATAATACGTGAATATATTTAAAATTTTATTTTGCATAATGTGTTATTTCCAAGGGTGAAAGGATTTGACACAAAATACAATCATTAAAAAAAAAAAAAATTAAGGGGAGAAAGATTTGTTTAATAATATAATCACATATTATTACAAACCTTAGATATTGTTTAAAAATATTTCATCACATCGAAGTAATAATGATAATAATAAGCTTTGTGTAAAATTAAATTATTTTAACGACTTACCTCGCGGTCGTACCTGACAATCAATTACAGTTACAAAACTTCAAACTAAGAATGTTGAATTTTTCATATTTAATTTGGTTTTTATTTATTTGATTGCTTAAAAAAAAAAAAAAAAAAATTTTAATTTTTCCTATTTCCCAATATGTTCCCTCTCATTTTAAGTTGAGGCGTGTCCAGTTTTGGTTATATCAAATAATTGAATGTAATTAATATTTATCTGACATTTTTTAATTTCAAGAAAATTTATTACAAAATAATAAATTACACTTGAACCATATTCAAGGTATATTAAAAATAATTATATTAGTGTTATAAGGTTAAATTTTTTGTTTTTTATGTTAACCTACTGACTTTCTTTTATGATCACCCCCATTTTGTTTTTTATCCATTAATGAAAATTTTTTTTTTATTTGTTTTTATTTTATAACAGAATGAAAAGGATTTTTAATGATTTATGATTAAAAAAAAAAAAAATCAAACACTCCCCCTCCCCCTTTCTGCAATGATCAATTTTTATTAAGAAAAAAAAAAAAAAAAAAAAAAAAACTTGAACTTTGATTTATTGTGGAAATTTTTTATTTTTTATTTTTTTTTGTACCTGGGTAAAGTTTAATAAACTTTTTATTTATTTATTTATTTATTAACTGGTCATTCACTTTTCATAAATTTATTAAAATTTTTCCATCAAATTTATTGTTTTTGTGGAAAAAAAGGGAGGAGGGTAGGGATAAAATCATCAAAAGGATTTTTATTTTTAACAATTTTTTTTTCTGCTGACACTTTTTTCCATAGATTTAATAATTTTTGGGGGGTTTTTAATGCGTAAATTAATAATGAATTCATTTTAGGGGTTAAAAATTTTCCATTACAATTTTTTTAAAAAAAAAAAAAAAAAAACAAAAATTATTTACAATCTTTTTTTTTTTTTTTTATTTGTTAATCCCGATTTGTTTTTTTAATTCCCGGAATATTTTAATTAATTAATTAATGTAAATAAATTATTTTATAAACATCCTGGATAATAATTCGTTCAGGGTTAGTTATCCCCCTCTCACTTCCCCCCAAAAAAAAATGGAGGTGTTGCATTTAATATGATTTGTAATAATAATTAATATAAGTATTTATTCGAATGACCGTGAGGATTTAAAAATTACAAAAAATAATTAATTATTTATTAATTTTTTTACATTAAATTAAAAATCCATTTTTTTTTTTAACTTTGGCAGGAACTTCTACCATTTTTTTTTTTTTTTTATTGAAAAAAAAAATTTTTTTTTACGTTTTTACGATGTCAAGGTAGGCAGACGTGTCATTTATTTATTTATTTAATTTTTTTTTTTTAAAATAAAAATTTTAACGGTTGACGTGTTTTCTTTAAATTATCGTTTATTTAATTATAATAATTATTATTATTTAAAAAACTTATAGCGTTTAATGTCAATTGCCGCATTTAGCAAAAAAAAAAAAAAAAAAAATTTGCCAAATTAGGTACCAATTTTTTTTTTTTTTTTTTTTTATGGGTCGAGGTTATTTTATTTATTTATTTATTTTTTTTGTGTTGATATTTTCCCTTCTTTCTTGTTTTTATCGACTAGTTTATTGACATATTAATTTGCTTAAAGCAAAATTATAATTATTTATTTACTTATTTCGTTTAATCGTCCTTTTATTATTACGTCCTTTCAGCAATTGTGCAACATCACGTGGTTTTAGATAGGAATTAAAAATAAATAAAAACAAAAACAAACGTAATTCGATAAATAATTTATTAATAAACAATACATACGTAAATAAATGAAATAACTTATTAAAATAATAAATACTTATTCAAATTTGACATTTGTGAGAATGAAAATGTTTCGAATTAGTAAATTGTTTATGACATCCGTGGCAAAAAAATTGTTTTTTCATCTCGTGGATTTGTACGTGTTCTTTAAAATTTTCCAATCTTCCAAAATCTTTTAAACACAAATCGCATTTATAAGGTTTCAATTTCAAATGTTGTATATTAACGTGTCTTTTTAACGAATTAACGGTTTTCAATTTTTGACAACAATACTGACAAGAAAATTTTTTTTCCGCGCTATGACTTTCAATGTGTTTTTTCAATTCGGTTTTGCCGTTAAAACCTTTGCCGCATATGTGACACACGTCATTTCTTTCGTTCGTATGCCTTTTGACGTGTAACTTGAGATTACCCATTGTCACGTGACCTTTGCCGCAAACGTGACAGAAGTGAGTTTTAACGTTGTCGTGAAATTTCAAATGAACGCGAAGATTCGATACGGATGAGAATTTTTTATCACATTTCGGACATTCCACGGGCCTTTCTTTCGTGTGTACTTTTTCGTGATCTTCTAAATTCGAACGGGAAGCAAAATGTTTGCCGCAATATTTACATTTATATTTAGTCAAACCGAGATGTATGTTTCTGTGTATGTGATACGTTAAAACCGTTGTAAATGTTTTTTGACAAAATTCGCAACCGTGCGGAGGCGGATGATTTTCAATTTCGTGTCTATTTCTCGTCGTTACGTTTTTCAAATATTTTCTACATATTCGACATTGATGAACTTTACCATCTTTCGTCGGTACCGGATAATCGTATGTAACGTCCAAATAATTTAACTTTCTTTTTTTCCTAACTGAATTTGTTTTCTTTTCTAACCCATCATCATCACCACCACCATCACCATCATCATCATCATCATCATCGCCATCTTTCCAAAAATTATCATTATCGAACATCCAATTTTCCGTTGTACTATTATCATTATCTTTTTTCATATTTTTCTCATCGTTTTTTATCACAGTCGACCGTTTTTTTTTCTCCCTTACCTATAAAAAAAATAAAATTCGTACGGTTTATTATTATTATTATTATTATTATTATTCCTAAATTTTTCATTCATAGGATTTTGTGTTGTTGTAATAAAAAAAAAAAAAAAACTTATTTAAAATTAAAAAAAATAAAAATTTATTATAAATAAATAAATTTAATTACACGAATATATATATATATATTTATAAAAATTACATTTATCAGCCTTGTTATAATAATAATAATAATAATAATAAAATTTTCTCTCTCTTAAAAATATATATTATTATAAAATCGTACGATTTTTAACTTTTCTTTTATCCCCCATCGAATGGGTTTATAATAATAATAATAATTTTTTTTTCAATCCGTTTTTCCGGAGCCCAAACATTCGTGTTGCCTCAACCTGTTTCTATTTGTAAAAGTTTCCCCGCATTTCGTACATTCGAGTTTTCTTTGTATTCCCAAATGTTGCGATTCCATGTGTTCTCTCAGGTACAAACTTCGGGTGAAAGTTTTGTGACAGTATTGACATAGGAAAGGTCTCAATTTCAAATGTATGCTGTTGACGTGTTTTCGAAGCAAAGTATTTTCTCGAAATTTCGCTTCGCAGTGGTTACACTCGTAGGGTTTGTCATCCGTGTGAGTTTTGAAATGTTTTTTCAAATACAATTTGAATGGGAAAGCTTTTCCGCATATCTGACAAACGAAATCGTTTGATTTTTTCGTGTGATGACGACTTATGTGTACGGTCAAATTTGTTTTCATTATGAATTTCCTACCGCAAAATTGACAGACGAAATGATTCGTTTGACTGTGTATGTTTTCGTGGATTCTCAGGTACTTTTTATCCAGAAACTTTTTACCGCAAAACGAACAAGGCACGGGTTCCAAATTGCTGTGCTTACGTTGTTCGTGATATTTTAAACTTCTCAGCGAGGTAAAAGTTAATTTGCAACTCGGACACTCTATGGTTCCGGTCACGTGATGACTTTTCATGTGTTGCCTTAATATTTCACCATTTTTGTAAACTTTGTCGCAAAGTGTGCAAGAACTCGGTACGGCCGGACGAATTCTAAACCTTTTTTTTTTCGCCGGATTTGTTTGTTCCCCAAGAGTTTGAGTTTTTCTACTCTTAACCTTTTTCTTATCCCCATTTTTTGAATCCACTACTGACGTATCGATACCCGTTTCGACAATTTCGAAACTGTCGTCGTCGTCCTCCTCCTCCTCCTCCATGTTCGATTGTATTTTAATCGTTCTGAAATAAATTATTTTTTCATTTATTGTTTTTTTCAGTTTTTTCTTCATCTTCATCTTGACTTTATTTATTTTATTTTTTTCTTGCAAAATCATTTTTTTTTTCGCGGACAATGTCAAATCATCATCCGACGATGAAAAATCTTTATCCCTCGAATCGATCGTTTTCCTTTTGTCCATTAATATTTTCTCATCATCAAACGACATCGACTCATCGAAATTTTCCGTTTCTTCTTCCACGATCCTCCTATCATTTACGTCATCATCGTTGACGACGTCACCATCTACTATTTCCCTATTATTTTCTTTTATTTTTTCCCCCTCAAATCCATCATTTTTTTCCAAATCGTTTAATGTTCCCGTTGATTTTTTCGTTTCGAGACTGAGCAAAGAATAAAGCTTGAATTTACTACCACCGACATTTTCTTCGTTTTTCTAGAAAAAAAAAAAAAAAAAAAAAAAAGAAAAATCAAATCATTAATTTTCCAGTCTCATAATTAAATAATATACATAGTATTACTACTTTTCTTAATATTTAAAAAAAAAAAAAAAATAATGTTTACCTTGTCTTTAAAAATTTTTTTTAAATTTCACAAAAAGGAAAACAAAATTTACCTATTTCAAAAATTAACTATTATTATTATTATTATTATTATTATTATTATTATTCGATAATAAAATAGGAAAAAATTAAATTTAAATTATTAAATCATCATTAATTTTATTATTATTATTATTATAAATAATTTTTAAATATCATTCAAACATTCCCTTTTGTATCCAAACTCTATGTATATTATTGCACATTTTATTAGGGAAAAAAAATCCCCAAAAGATATTAATGATGATAATCATAATAATAATACATTATTATACTTTATCAATTCAGTCTCTTTATTTGAAAACAATTATTAATATTCGGAATAAATTTCATTATTTGTTCGTTTCGTAAACTTCTTTCGTATTGTTCGTCTCGTCATCATCATCATCATCATCATCATCATCATCATTATTATTATTATTATTATATTTTAATAAATCCGAATGATTTTGTTTCAAATGATTTTTATATTTGTGTTCGTGTCTGAAAGTTCTCTTACAATGAGGACAAGGGAAATTAGGGGCGTGAGTTTTTTTATGATGATGAAGACTTTGGGGAGCCGTAAATTGTTTTCCACACAATTCGCACATGAATAATTTTTCCTCCGAGTGAGCTCTCACGTGATAGTCCAAATTTGATTTCAAATGAGTTCCGAATCCGCACAATTCGCAAACGTATTCGATTTTTTTATCGTGGAGTTGCACGTGTCGCTTGAGCGCGAAAACATCGCGGAATTTTTTCTCGCATATTTGACACTCTTGCACTTTACCATAATAATGATACATCATGTGAGATTTAAATATGCTCGCACGTGTCAATCCTTTACCGCAAACGGGACACGTGAAAGTGTAAACTCCCAAATGAGTTTTTGTATGTATTAAAAAATTTCTAAGGGAATACAATTGCTTGTCGCAAACTTTGCAAATCAAATAATCCAAATGAGTGTCTCGTATGTGTTTGTCGTAGACTAATTTGTTGAGTACTATTTTCGAACAAAACAAACAAGCGTAACGAAAACCACGTTGAACGTTTGTTTCCGTGACTCCTTCGACAATGCTGACAACGTCCACGTGTCCATCATTGTCGAGACGAAAATTATACAAAACGTTTTCGATGATTTCTTCGTGAGTGTTTCCACGTTCGTTTAAATTTTTTTCTAAATATGCTTTTGTACTCGAATAATTAGCGAGTGAGTCCTCCTCCATTTTTGTACTTTCACATTCCCAATTGATTTTAGATTTTAAAATTGTTTTGTCCTTTGACGACATATAATCGTGATCATTCATGCTCTTGTCTTTTACGTTATTCACATTATCTGATTTCTCTTCTTGTTCTACCATATGAGGTTTATTTATCGGATTGATTGCCACCAATTGACAATCTCCCACTTCCATAACAATTTCTTCATCACATATATTTTTTTTTTCATTTCTTTGGCGAATTGAACTATCAAAGGATATTTCATAACAAGGATATGATTTAACATGATTTGCCCTTGGTAATTCTTTGAGCATTATTTTGTTACTTAATTTATATTTGGTCTTGAGCCATTTGAAATACATGTCAGGATTCATATACACTATGTACTTTTGTGTGAAAACCGTGGGTACCATTTCTATATCATCTTCATTATTAACACCAATTTCCTGAAAAGTTAAAGTGTAATTTTTTTTTTCAGTCTTCTCCAATATAATTATATTCCCTTTTATTGGTTCAATTTCTTTTAATAAAAATATTTAATTTCATTATTTAACTTAAAACGATGAATACTATAAAATTGAAAAAAAAAAAAAAAAACTAAAGGAATATAATTAATATTGTTCCATTATTGTTACCCTTAATGCGAACCTTAAAATCCTAATTGAAAAAATTTTAATAATGTTGTCAAATTTTTCACATACAATTTGTTTAAAAGCAGAATTAAAGGATTACTATTTTATTGTTAAAAATATTATAGGTTATTGAAAATGTCATCTTACCACAGGTTTAGGGGGGGGATCCAATTGAGAAAGAGCCGAGTCCAATCCATCGACTTTTACTAAATGTGGCGAAGCGAAAAACTGTCTAATTTCTTGAGCCTTATTTCTAATCTGAAATCGAAAAAGAAATTTTAAAAGAAATGGTCAGTTAGTCACTTGTAAAAGTAATGTTTTTTAAAACTTGCTTGTATGTTTAAAATACATACTTGTGTAACAGTTTCAACATGAACTGGTTCGTTTTTTATACATTTTCTTAAAACAGCATCAGCAGTCTCGCAAAGATCCTTAAATTTATACCAACCATCAACTTGGCAAAGGCAAGTGGTACAAATTTGACTAGGAAGACCATCAATAGCGTTTAACTAAAAATTTATTTATAAAGTGTAAATAATATTATGAATATAATAATATAAAAGCAAACGTACGTATAATTACTCAATTCAATAACCTGGTCAATAAAGTTTTTAAAAAAAGTTAATTCATAATTTGTTTATTAAAAAAATTATAACTCACTTCTACAGAAACACAGGCCATAATTCTGAGGGGTAAAGGTACAGAGTTGGAATGTTTATCTTGTTCATTAAAAATTGATGACATAACCGTCTCTTCCATTAAACATAAACGACATATTTTATTAAAATCTATTATATTTTCTTGTACAGCCATTATAAATAATTTCAATACATAAACCTATTTTTAAAAAAAAATTTTCTTAAATATTTTTTTTACATTTTATAAATCTAGCATTTAATTAGCGTCTTTATGATGGCGTCTTTTCTAGTTTCACGTCAATTTTTCCCACCAAAATCTTTTATGTTATGTATTAATGTTATTTAAAAAATTTAATTTTTCTCTTTGAAATGGATGATGGATGCATTGAAAGTCGTCCGAAAAGGCAGAAAATAGACAAGAGCGGTAAAGTTTTTTTTTTTCTAAATAACATTTTTCCATCGATTCCATTTTTAATTGTTGTTTATTTTTACATTACTCAAAACTCAGTTCTTTTTTAGGTCGATCAGCTGCTTTAGAACGACTTAAAGCTTTGAAAGGTCGTAAAAATAAATGTGAAATTGGTGAAGTAGATAATGTTTATGAATACGTTGATGAAAAGGAATATGCAAAAAGGGTGAGGGTAAGGCAAGATGAAGATTGGTTGGAAAATCCAGGAGATGGATACTTTGAAGATGGAAGAGAAATTTTTGATAGTGATGATGAAGATGATCTTAATAGTTCTTCTAGCAAAAAATCTAGAAAGTAATAATAATATTCTCGTTTTTTTTTTTGGTGTTTTTCTTAAGTGTTTATGTAAATATTTAAACATTTAATCATTTTAGGCTTTCATCTTTGCATAAGAAAAAAGAAAAAAAAATCAAGTCTGGTTCGAACAATATATTAGATATGGTGTCCAAAATGCCAGTAAAGAAAAGAAATATTAATAGTGAAAATAATATATTAAATCTTTTAGAAGAATCATTAAATTCAGCATCTAATAGTTCCTCGCAAAAATCAGAAGTTCTTACATCTAAAGAATACCTGAAAATGTTATCGTCACATGTAAGTCATTAAGTACTTCTATATTTTCCATTTTACATTTTACAATTTGCAATTGTAATAAATTACTCATTGATTTTTTTAAATTAAATATTTTTATTTATTTTAGACATCAAATCAAAATGTAACGAAGAAAATAAAAAATGAATCTGTAAAACCTACGTTCAACAGTGCAATAAAAACAAATTTAGTCAATTTACCTGTAAACAAAAAAACAAATTATGAAACTTCAGAGAAGAATGGCCAAAGTGATCTTACTACTTATTCTGCATGTGTTCAAAATGTTCAAAATAAAGAAACCTTAATTGAAAATTCTACAGCCTCAAACGATGCTTATGATGACTCAATTGATTTCGATGACAATATGGATGTTGATGTAAAGTCGAATAAAAATAATAATAAAATTTACCATAATGTATTTTTTTTTTTTAAATTTGTATAAAATTTTAGTTGGGTGATATTGATCTCAACGTTTCTGCAGACGATACAAAAACTAATAAAGAAAATTCTAAACCTAATTTGGATGAAGATTGTAATGATGAGTTTTTAAATTCGATTCCTCTCGATGATAAAGAAGAAATTCCATCCATATCATCAGGTAAGACTAAAAAGAAAAAAGAATTATAATTGAAATAGTTAAATTAATTGAAAATTTGTCTTTAATTTAAGAATGGGTTGATAATAATACTCCAAATATAAATGTTCCTCTTCCGAATATAAGTGTTGATAAATCGGATCTTCCACTTGGTACAAATAAAAATGGTGAAAAAGTATTTAGATTTTTTTGGTGGGATGCATATGAGGATGCTTTAAAACAACCAGGGATTGTTTATCTTTTTGGCAAAGGTAAATAAAAATAAAATTTTTTTTAATGAATTGTTTTTAATTATAAGGTATTAAAATAGGTATTAATTTTAGTGTATTACGAACCTAAAAAAATATATTTAAGTTGCTGTGTTGCCGTTGAAAATATTCCAAGGAGAATTTTTCTTTTACCTCGCGACAAAAAGTTCGATTCGAAAACCCAAGAATCTACGGAAACGGAAATATCATTATTGGATGTCTATAAGGTCAATAAAAATTATATTACATTTCATTTTAAGTTCTTATCATAATTATCAATTAATTGTTTGTATATTTTTTTTAAAGGAGTTCAACGAAAACATAGCAACACCCAACAAAATAATGAATTTCAAATCTCGTAAAACGACATTAAAATACGCATTTGAATTAAACGATGTACCCGCCGAAAGTGAATATTTGGAAATAAAATATCCGGCAACGTATGCGAAACTACCACAAGATTTATCTGGTGAAACTTTTAGTAGAGTTTTTGGAACGAATACAAGCGGTTTGGAAGTGTTGCTTTTAGACAGGAAAATAAAAGGACCCTGTTGGTTGGAAATAAAAAATCCACAAACTGTTAATGTTCAGTGCAGCTGGTGCAAATTGGAAGTACGATGTTCGAAACCTGAGGATGTAATAATCTCTGACGTATTTGCTCCTCCTCCACCTTTGACTCTGATGACGATTAATATTCGTACGGTTGTTAGCAAAAATATGGATAATGAAATTGTCATGATCGGAGTCATCGTTAACAATCAGTATAGAGTAAGTTTATGATTGTACATCTTTTAAAATAAGCTTAAATTAAAAAATTGATTCGAAAAATTTTACAGATTGATAAACCCGCACCCAATCCCCCGTTCAATTCTCATTTTTGCACCGTAACAAGATCTCCATCATGTTTTTGGCCGCAAAACATTGAAAAATGTTTAGGAAATTATAAAAAAACAGAAGTTGCCGTACATCAAGCAGAAAAAAGTCTTTTGAATCATTTTTTAACAAAATTATTTACCATAGATCCAGACGTAATAATTGGACATGAAATATTTGGTTTTACATTGGATACCCTAATTCAACGAATACAACATTTAAAGGTTATTAAAAATATGTTTATGTATTAAGTAATTAGTCGCACGTTTATTAAAATAATAAAATAATTTTAGATACCCAATTGGTCTCGTATCGGTAGGTTAAAAAGGGCGATTCTACCCCAATTCAAAGGGAAGCAAATGGATAAAAGCGTGACGTGTGGTCGTTTAGTATGTGATGTTGTGACTTCCGCTCGGGAATTAATAAGAGCTCGAAGTTACGATTTAAGCACTTTGTGCAAACAAATTTTAGGAATCGAAGAAAATTCCAGACAGGATTTTTCATCTGAAGTAAGTCGAATTTAATTTAAATTATAGGGAAGAAATTTTTTAATTTCATTTTTGCTCGCAGGAAGTGGTAGAAAAATTTCAAAAAATTGGATCCGTTATTGAACTTATTAATTATACGATGGAAGACGCGAGTCACATATTAAAAATAGTTTACGAAATAAATGCTCTTCCGTTGGCTTTGCAAATAACTAAAATTGCTGGAAACGTCATGTCAAAAACTTTGTCGGGTAAGTATTTCATTTAAAAAAAAAAAAAATTTCCTTTTAATATTTAAAACTCCTTATTTTTGTCGTTTGAAAAAGGGGGACGTTCGGAAAGGAATGAATTTTTATTGCTTCATGCGTTCACGGAGAAAAATTATTTGGTACCCGATAAAAGTTTTTCTAAAAAGCCGCGAATGAATGAAGATGAAATGGAGGCATCGTCTAAGAATAATAAGAAAAAACCTCAATATGCCGGTGGTTTAGTTTTCGAACCGAAAAAAGGATTTTACGACAAATTTATTTTACTCATGGATTTTAATTCTTTATATCCGAGCATAATTCAAGAATACAATATTTGTTTTACGACCGTGTCGAGGTTTGTCAAAAATAATTTCAAAGGATTTTCCGATCCGAAGAGACATTTTTTAACGATAAAAATTTTTCCCTTGTAGGAGTAACGGCGAAGATGAAAACGAAATCAATTGTCCACCGGATAATTTACCACTCGGTATTTTGCCCATTGAAATAAAGAAATTGGTGGAAACTCGTCGTGATGTTAAACAATTGATGAAATCTCCCAATTTATCACCCGAGTTATACATGCAACATAATATCAGGCAAATGGCTCTTAAATTAACGGCGAATTCGATGTACGGTTGTTTGGGATTTTCATATTCTCGATTTTATGCGAAACCTTTGGCCGCTTTGGTCACGAGCAAAGGAAGAGAAATACTTTTAAATACAAAGGTAAAAAAAAAAAATTGTCACTCGTAGATAATTATGTGAAAATTGTATGCGTACACGTTTTCATTGCAGAACATTGTAGAAAAAATGAATTACGATGTCATTTACGGAGATACGGATTCCGTAATGATCAATACGAATTGTATAAATTACGATGAAGTGTTTACGATCGGTCATAAAATAAAAGATGAAATCAATAAATTGTATAAATACATAGAGTTAGACATTGATGGAGTTTTCAAATACATGCTCCTGTTGAAGAAGAAAAAATATGCTGCTGTCGTGTTGACGAAAAAACCATCGGGAGAACTCGTAGCAACGAAAGAATACAAGGTAAAGTAATTTTTTACGAATTGATTGACTCACGCTACTAACACGTAATAATATTATTATTATTATTATTATTATTACTTGAAGGGTTTGGATATAGTTCGTAGAGATTGGTGTCAGTTGTCTGCGGAAGTCGGACGACACATTTTAAATCAAATCCTGTCGGATTTAAGTCCAGAAGATAGAATAGGAAATATAAAAGATCATTTAGAAAGGATTACCGTGGATTTACGGGATAGAAAAGTTCCCATATCCCTTTTGGCCATCACAAAACAATTGGCTAAAAATCCAGAAGATTATTCGGATATAAAGTCGTTGCCTCATTTGCAAGTCGCACTGAGAATGAATTCTAAGGGTGGTAAAAAGTTAAGAATGGGAAACACGGTGTCCTACGTCATATGCGATGTAAACATTTTAAATTTATACATTTTATCAACCCCTATTTTCAACCCCGCCATTTTTATAATCAATTAATTTTTGATTAAGGACGGATCAAATCTTCCGCCGTTACAAAGAGCTTATCACGTGGACGAATTAAAATCGAATTCTCAGCTTCTCATCGATATAAAATATTATTTAGAACAGCAAATTCATCCCGTCATTAGCAGACTTTGCGAACCTGTAGAGGGTGTGGATGCTGCTTTTATTGCCGAATGCTTGGGCCTCGATCCAACGAGCTATCGAAAAGCAATACAAAAATCAATGGAAAAAGATGAATGTGAAAACAGCACCGCCGTCAACGATTACATATTCGGAAACGATTTAGAAGCATTCAAGTTAGTTTGGATTGATATTGTGACGCCATTTTGTGTCAACACCTTATAATTATTCGTTAAATAAATTAATGATTTTCAGGCGATGCGAAGTTTTTTCATTCGTTTGCAAGGGTGAAAATTGCGGTACTGTTAATTACATCGACAGTCCCATGCGCGACAACGTACCTTCTTTGAGTAAATGTAGGAATCCATCTTGTAACACGTCACCGATAACTTATTTAACGAACATCGTTAATGAACTTACCATAAAAATAAAGTACGTGACGCGATAAATTGTTTCGAAACTTTTAAGTTTTAAAAACTTTTATTATTGAGGCGTATGGTTGAGGAGTCTTTTATTTTTACAGGACTCATATAAGAAAGTTTTATCAAAATTGGCTCATATGCGAAGATCCAGCTTGTACAAATCGGACGCAAAGAGTTCCAATGAAGTTTTCAAACACTTTTCCAGTGTGTAATTTATGTAACAAAGGAGCAATGTATAGAGAATACACAAGTTCTGATCTTTATTATCAAATTAAATACTACAAACATGTTTTTACCCTTGAAAAAGTAAAGTTTTTCGCATTTTTCAATAAAAAACGTTTTAATTTTATAATATTATTATTATTTTCTTTTTTTTTGCAGAAAAATTACGAATTACCGGAAGATGTAAGAGAAGGTTACAAAATACTACAAGAAAAAGTTTTAAAAGTTTTAAATATGAGTGCATATAATTCATTGGATTTGGGTAAAATGTTTTCTAAAAGTATTAGAAAGAAAAGAAACGACAGAAAACTTCAAAATTCGTTTTTAAATTTAAAAATTTAATTAAATTGAAAAATTTCTTTTTTTTAATCTTTTCTATTTTTATTTTTTATTATTTTTCTTTCTTTCGATCTTTTTTTTTTAATGTTTGTTAAGAATAATTATTAATATAAATATAATAATCATTTAGTTGTTTTATTATTAATTTATTTTATTATTCGACCAAATTTTTTTTTTTTTTTGAATTTTCAGTTGAGTTTGAGTTTCGCGCCAAAAATTTTGTTTTCAAGAGATTCGATTTAATTAATTCAAGTTCAATTTGTTACAAGGTTAATATGTGTTATTGAATTAAATGTTTTCATTATTTATTTATTTATTTATATAAAATTAATAGAAAATGTTTTCACATCACATTAATATGATAGTTAAATGAAAAAAATAAATAAAAATGATAATAATGGTACGGTTATTTAATTAGGTAATATTGAAAATGGCAAAATCACAAATACAGAAACAAACAAATTCTGTAATTTTTTTAGGTTTTTTTACGAAGATGTTCAGTAAAAATATTGGTTTTGTTGTTTTTTGCAACAATCGTTGTTACAAATTTATTTTTTTTAATTACGGTAGTTGATGATAATTATAAAATGGAAAATAAATCAGGTGATAATGTCAGTTTATTATTATTATTATTATTATTTTTATTTACATTTGTTAATGTATCCTTGAATATTTTATTCATGAATAAAAAAATTTTGAAGTTTAGATGCCAAAATTCAATTCAGTTAATCGAATCATTGATAATAATGTTAAAAATGATTTAACGAAGAAAAAAAAAATTGGAAGGTATTATGTAGTCGATAAAAAAAGTCAAATAAAAGCAACAATAAATGCAGAAAAAAATATTAAATTACATGCTAAAGACATATATAATCGTTACAAAAAAAATTTATACAGTCCAGTAAACATATTAGAAAACATAACGAATAATTTTTTTGAAGTTGAAAATAATAAGATTAAAATGTGGGAAGTAGCAGAAAGTGTAAGTAAATGTTTTTTTTTTTTTTTTTTTCTCAAGTTTTATGTGTGAAAGAAAATTAAAATTATTTTAATAATTAATAAAAATTATTATTCTAATTTTAAGAAAAGTTATTTTTAGTGGGTAAACGGAAATCAAGTGATTCCTCAAGATGCACCCTTACTCGGAAGTGTTCTTCGTTCACTTTTTTCTGCGAAAATAATCAAAGCTGACAATGCTAAAAAAGGAACTCAGTTAAAATTAATGTTGACATTAGAAGGTGGTCAACAAGCACTATTTAAACCCCAATGGTGAGTTAATCAAGAGTTAAATTTAAAATTATTAGAAATGATACATATTTTTTCCTCGCACAAGATGTCCTCTCACGAGATTTTTCGATAGGTATCCAAGAAATGAAATAATAACAGGACCTGTTTATTCCGGAAGGGATAGACACAATGGAGAAGTTGCTGCATTTTATTTAAGTTTATTATTAAATATGAGAACAGTTCCTATAACAATTGGAAAAAAAATTAATTTAAGAAGCGAAATAATGCCATATGCAACTCCTGAATTATTAGATACATTTTATGATGATGGAAACAATACTTGTTTTTATGGTGTGTGCCTTTATTGTGAGCCTAAAAGTCTTGTCTGTGCAAAAAATGACATTATGGAAGGAGCTCTTATTATGTGGCTTCCGACTAAAATTAAATTTAAAAAATATCCAAGTCCTTGGCAAAGAAGTTATAAGAGCAACCTTGTCGCCAGGTATATACCTTTTTTTTTTCTTATCAACCTACATTTGTGATTATTTTATAGCCAGATTTTTTTTATCTTTGTTAACGGATTTGAAATATTTATTTACTCGATAAAATTATCACTTTTATTATGAATATTTCAAATTTTTATTTTTTTTTTTTTTATTTTTTTTTCTATTGTCGTCTATCAAAGGTGGGAAATGGATGAAAATTATTGCAGCGATGTAAAAAATTCAAAACAAAATAATCAAAATAGATTATTAGATCTTACAGATGCTGCAATTTTTGATTTCCTTATAGACAATGGAGATAGACATCATTATGAAGTTCCACTAGGTTTTAATCATTCTTCAATTTTTTTATTCGACAATGGAAAAAGGTTTGTCGAGAATGAAAAAAAAATTGTTTTAATTTATAATTTTTTATTATTATTAACATATTTTACTCATTTTATAGTTTTGGAAATCCTTACATTGATCACATTGACATATTGGCTCCTCTTTATCAGTGTTGTGTGTAAGTTTTTTATTAATGATAACATGACAATAAACTAATAATAATAATAATAATAAAGGATATATATTGTTTTAGAATAAGAAAATCAACGTGGGAACGGTTGAAAATGTTTTCCGGCGGTTTATTAAGTTCAAGTTTAAGAAATTTATTAAAATATTCTGATATCACACCTGTATTGACAAATTCTCATCTATTCGCTTTAGACAGACGACAACTTTTCATATTTGCAGCAGTGGAAATGTGCATTACACAATATGGAGAATCAAAAGTTTTTTTTAAAGGCAACAACAACAACAACAGCAACAGCAACAACAACAAAAATAAAATAAAAGTAAAATTTAAATAAGTAATTTTATTTAAAACTCATTTTATTATTTCAAATTCATAAACAATTTCATCAACAAACAATTATCACAGTTTTATTAAAAAAACTCCGAATTCATTTCGAATAAGTTAAAAAAATAATTTTTTTTATAAATTTATATATATATATATATATATGTATGTATCAACCATGAAGAAAATAAATTTTTACTAATTATTTAAACAACAATTAAAATAATTTTGTTCGAATTTGACTAATAATTAATAATAATAAAATATTAATTAATTTTTAAAGTCCGACAACAAAAAAAAAAAAAAACAATTTTTTATTTTTTTTTGTTAATGAAAATAAACAAAATTCCATAAGGTCAACTTAAAGAATGAATAAAAAAATTTTTTTTTTTTTTTTTTTTTAATCTAAATTTAATTTATTTATTTCGTGTCCTCTCGATGATTCTGTCGTTTTGTTTTTCGTCCTTTCTGAAAAAATTATTTAAAATGATTTTAAAATTAAATTTAATTGTTTGTAAATAACAATCGAGTTGTTAGTGATTTGGCAAAGTTTTCTTTTTTTTTTGTTAAGTTAAATGAAAATGGCTATCATCACATATGATTTGAAATATTATAAAATCATCTCTTACAATTGTTAATAAAGTTAGTTATAAACTATGCAAATAAATCAATTAGTCATTTGTACATTTCTTTTTTTTGGTTTTTTTATTGGCAAACAACAAAAATTTATAAATGAACAATTTTTCACTGTCGTTGATATATAAAAACAAAAAAAAAATTTTTTTTTTAACTAACCTTGTAACTCTTGCAAGCCTTTCGATGTTTCATCATCATCATCATGTATTTTTATCATTAATTTAGTTATTTCTGTGCTAATGGCATAATCAATGTCATTTATTTGCACTTGATCTATACTTTTAAGATAATCAAAATTAAAATCTTTTAAATCATTTTGCATTTTTTTAACATCGGGAAAATCTCCCGGTGATAACTTCAATTCCATTTGCAATTTAGTAAATATTTCCGGTAAGCTGTTAACTAAATTCTCTTTAGCAGTTGCTTTCCCGAATAAAACAGGCATTTTCGTTTTAAGCGCATCCATAATGTATGCATGAGTTTTAGCTAGTCTGACTCTCTTGTGAAGATCATTTAATTTTCTTAAAGCTGAATTTTTTGGCAATGATTGTATGTCTTTAAGTAAATCTTGTTCTTCATCTTCGAATAATTGTTTGTAAACATTATTTTTCAATGATTGATCCCAAAATGAACCAACATACACTCTGGCAACTTCTGGCGTGTTAATTATTTTACCCAGCGACCACATAAGAGACCCATAAATTCTCATTAACGATTGATGATCAACCATATCAGCTTTATTTAAAATAATTCTTATTTTCTCATCGTGACCTTTCAATGCTTCAATTGATCGCCTAAATTCATCGGATATGTCTAATTTATGAGCATCGAAAAGAAGTATGATTCTATCAACTCTTTCAGCAAACCATTCTAACACACCGGTAAAATCATAACCCCTATCTACTCTTTGTTTTTCTCCAGAGAGTATTCCAGGTGTATCGACTAAAGATATACCTTGAAGAATAGGATTATTTAGGGTTGAACATTGAAATTTTGTTAAAAATGAATTCCCATATTTACTTAATGGAGAAAATGGTTTATTCGGATCTACAACAAGGGCATTTCCAGGAATAATTTTAGCTTTTTCATCGTGCATAATCACCATAAACCTATCTGTTGTCGGTTCAGGACCTATTCTCATTCCTAGAAATTCACTTTTTAGAATATATTTGATTAATGTTGTTTTACCAGTCGAATATTGGCCCATGAATAAAATTAATGGTTTTGCATCGAAATCCGGATCATTTAATTTGGGTGAATGAAAATCGTGAAAATAGTAATCTTCTTCTAACGGTAATAATTTACTTTTATATATTTGTTTCAAACCATCTAGAACGTTTGTATATTCAAAACTCTCTCGTTTAAACCAACTGTAATTGAAATATTCATTTATTAATGTTTACAAAAAAAAAAAAAACTCATAATTAAAAATAAATTTCTTTTTTAATGACGACAATACTTTGATATAAAATACTCTGGCCGGTCTGTTTATTTACATTAAATTTTTTTAATTAATTCATTATAACATTTATACCATAAGGTATCATTTTGAAATTATAAAATGAAATGCAGAGCAAAATTAAAAACAAAAAAAAAATTATGTATACTGATTTGCCCGAATAATAGTACCGAATCGATAGTTAAAAAGAAAATTTTTAAAAAACATTTTCAAAAGTGTACAAATCCTGTGAAAAAAAAATTTATTTCATATTTATTATTCATTCTGAAATCAATGTTGACAACCGAATTAATTTTTTTTTGAATACCTTATACCTCCTCCTTCCCTCATATTGACATACATTTATTTCTTTTAATAAAACATTTTTTATAATAGTCTTCAAATCTTAAATAACTTATTTATTGCCATTTAACTCAAATGTAAAAATTAATTAAGTAATTCAAAAATAAAAAATGACACAAATAAAATTTAGCTACTTTGTTTTATCTCACATAGAATTTTTAAAAAATTCCCAAAAGGTGAGATTGATTGCTACATAAAATCTGATACTAAACTTCCTATTCTTACCTCCTCTTCCAAATGTTATTTGGATGTAGGATGTTCCCCCTTCACCCCCCCAAAAAAAATCAATTAAATATATTCTATTTTTTTTAAAATGTTTCAAAAATTTTTAAAGGAAGGAAGATTGAAAGACTTTTTTTTTTTTTTTTTCGGGTTAAAAATAAAATAAACAAAATAAAATTTTCTCCATACCATTCTCCTTTTTTAATAAATAATTATTTGATAAAATAATATTATCACTTTAAGTATTAAAAAGAGAGACTATGGAAATATATTTTTCATATCTGGATTTTTATAATTAGGCCTCAGCAGTTCCTTGTTTTAATTTTTCCAAAAAAGCTTTCTTTTTTTGGGCCACGCGATCTTTTCTTGCGGCAAGAGTCAATTTCTTCTTGTTCCATCTCTTGGGTTTCTTGTCAGTTTTGGCTTCGACTGGTTTCTTCGGTGCAGGAGATGGATCTGCTCTAATTGCTTTGTGTGCATTTTTGTAAATGCCTTCAATGTCATCTGCTTTAATTCCTAGCTTTATGTATTGAGAAAATTGACGCTGGTAAGCTTCATCATCTTCTTCGGCTAATGATTTCATGTAATTTGCAACATGTTCTCCGAAAATATGTTTCCTGTGAACTTCAGGGTTGAATTCTTTAGATTCAGAATCGTATCCTGGAAAACGTTTGGTGCTGTGGGGAATGTTTAATCCTCCATCGACAGCTCCTTTCATAGCTCCAAAAACTCTGGCTCCTGTACTTGTTCTTTGAAGACCTACATCCAAATAACATTTAAACGCTCCTGGACCTTTTTCAACATCTTCAACATTGTATTCATCTCCCTTGACGTTGGTGCATCCTTTGTAAATATTGTCAAGCTTTAATTTTTTTAACAATCTTCTAGCCAAAAGTAAACCAGTGCAATAAGCAGCAGCATAATTGGTCAACCCGACTTTGATTCCATAACGTGGCAACTCATGAGAGTAGGCACTGCTAACAATTTTATCTCCTTCAATTCTCGAATATGCAACCTAAAAATATTGATAAGAATTTTTTACATGATGTCACCCCAAAAATATAATTAACAGCATTACAACCTAGATGCTACACCTTTACAAGAGTAATACATTCCACACAAAAAAACCGAATTAATTTTTTAGAAATTATAATTTCCACAATTGCATTCAAAAATGTCTACCATTACTTCACTTACCTGACAGGTGATATCTTTGTTGGACAATCTAACAATCAATCTGTATTTCGGAGAATTATACTTGTTTTTATCTTGAACGATTAAACGTTTACGAGCATAATAATCAGTTTTTCCTTGCCTACGCCTTTTAAATTTGACTTGATACCGCTTGAAATATTGTTTATTTTTCACAACTTTAACAAAACCCTGAAATCAATTCCGTAAAAAAATAAATTTTAAAAAATTTTGAATTCTATTAAAAACGAGAATTTATTGAAATCACATCTTTCGAATTAATTATTAACATTCAAAATAAAATAAAAATGAATCGGGTCACGCAAAGAAAAAAAAAAAAATATATATATATATGTATTTATGTGCAGAGAAGCAGGCGAATTCCGGGTAGAATTAATCAAATAATATTAAAACCATCCTGAGTTAACAAAAAAAATTATTTCAATATAATTTTAAAATATTTATAAATGTTTCATAATAAAATATCAAATATAAAAATTATTTACCATTTTAACTGTTAAAATATGTGAAAATAAAATCTATGTATTAAAGGAAATTAACCTAAACACATCATCTGTTAACAAGTGGACAAGGCCCAAATGCCATCGAATACGCAACACAAAAAAAGGCCCCAAAAAAAATATACTCTATGCTTTTCACCGTTTGAAAGATTTGGCGTCGTTTTCTTTTTTGCAACATTAACTTTTTCTTCGGTGAAAATTATAAATAATTTTAATATAATAACCGTAACTATCATTAAATTTACTATTACAAAAAGTATTTTAAGTGTTATTGTCAAAAATTTAGAGAGAATTCGCTCTAAAAACTTACTTCAATGGCGGAATAAATATATTTCGTACAACATGTACAACATTTAGTTCAAAATTTTGATTCGTGTTTTGATTTGTTCATAACCGAATTCAAAATCAAAAAATACTAAATAAAAAAAATATAGGAAAAGGATTTTGGAATGAAATGGATTATACATGAAATAGGTAAGTACTGTTAATAATAATTTCTATTCTTTCTCACATAAGAAAAATTTTTTTCTTATTGTTCAGAACAGTTATAAGTTTTCTTTTGTTAATTATCAAATAATAAATTGTTTAAACAAATAGTAACTGATATAATTGATAAAATTTCACCATCAAATTTCATTTTTCTTATATTAAACTTCTTAATGTGGTTAAAGATTCAAATGACTGATGAGAAACAAATTTGAAAGAAAAAGAAAGAGAAAGAAAGAGTTAAAGAAAGAGAAAAAAAAATTAAAACATTTTTTATTTTAATAAGAGGAAGAAAAAAAAAAAGAAAAATTATTAACAATTATTTAAATTATCTAAAATTATTATTATCAATATCTAAAACTATAAATTTTTTTTTTTTATATTATTTAACAAATATATATTAAAAAAAAAAAAAAAAAAATGAACAATTTATTATACAATTTTAATTTTCATTAAATACTGACAAGAATTTTTTATTATAAATAAACAAATCATTTTTTTTTCTAATATATTATTATTATTATCATTTCTATATTAAAATAAATAATTTAATATAATCATAAACAGCAAAAATTTTAAATTCTTATCTTTTATTTTAATAATAATAATAATAATTATTCAAGCAAATTTTAATGACATAAAATGTGAGAAGAAGAAGAAGAAGAAGAAACATTTTTTTTTTTTTTAATGGATAATTTACCTGAAATAAAATTTTATTTAATAACAAAAAAAAAAATTAATTAATAATGACCTTTTAACCCCGAATCGATGAGGGACGCGTATCGATAAAAAAAATTTTTTTTTTTTCATTTTTCTTTAATTTTCCTGTGACTAACATCTCATTTTAAAATTTTAATAATAATAATAATAATAATAATAAATTTTATTTTATTTAATTAATTATTAAATTAATTAAAATTCTTTTTACAATATTTTCTAATTTAAAAAAAAATTCTAATTAATGCATCTAATTAATCTATTTAAATTTATATAAATTATTTATTTATTTATTAATTTGGGATTTTTTTTAAATAAAAAATTATTATTATTATTAATTTTCTTTCTCCAATTATTTACCAAACTCTGTAACGTTCGCAGCATTAATAATAATAATAATAATAAGATATGTTGTAATTTTATTTATTTATTTTCGGAGAAAGAAAATATCAATAATAATAATAATAATAATAAAAGATATGATGACAGTGATATGCTCGACCGATCTTATAAAAAACATTTTTATATTAATCATCAATGATAATAATAATAATAATAATATGAAATAAACTTAAAAAAAATTTTCATTCGAAATTAATAATTTATTAATTAATTAATAAAATAAAAAAAAAGTTAATTTTCAATAAGGTTATAAAACGTCTCACATGATGATTTTTATTTACAAACGTTAGATGTTAGTTAAAAAATCAACCACAAGAGTGAGCTGTAATAAAATTTATTTATTTTGTGATTATGTACGTAAAGAGTATATAGAAGAGTACAGAACCTAAAACCTAAAACCTGAAATTTTTTTTTTTTGTTTAAATAATAAAAACAATCAATTTACGTCATCATCAACAACAACAACAACAACAACCTGAAGTCATTTATTATTCGTTTAATTTACCATACAACAAACACTTAGGCTTTCAAATTTAAAATATATATAAATAATAATAATTAATTAATTAATAAAAATTATATATTTACAACAATTTAGTTTAATTAAAAAAAAAAAAAAATAAGCGAGGATTTGACATTTTTTTTTTTTTATATTAAAAATAGTACGATTTAAATTTAAATAATAATAATAATAATAATAATAACAATATATAAAATAATTAAATATAAAAAAAAATGACAATAAAACGGGATAAAAAAAATTTTATTATTATTATTATTATTAAATTTCATATTTTAATAAATTTTAATTTTTTTTGTAAATAAAATATTTTAAATAAATAAAAAAAAATTCCTAAGTATCTGTAACGTATTATTATTTATTTATTTAAATTGACTACAGGGAGTTATCCATCCTCTCTCTCTCTCTCTTTTTAAAATATAAAATACCTGATTGATTGATCGATCATTAAATCCCGTATAAAATCATATTTCGGGGATTTTTATTAACAACAAATAAACAAACAAAAAAAAATAAAAATAAATAATAAAAAATAATAATAATAATATTAATACGAAATAGTAATAATAATAATAATAATTCTAAAAAAATTATTACAACAAATTTTCTTTCTCTCTCTCTCTCTCTCTCTTTTACACTACTATTATTGCTGTCAATGTATATATATAAATTTTTGTAATAATACTACTCTTACTAATAATAATAATAATAACAATATAATTTCAATCACATATTTTTTTTTTAAAATACGAAATAATAATAATAATAATAATAATAATTTTTTTAAATATATATAAATTCATTATTAATTAATTTTTGATTAAAATGTTACAAAAAGGGGTTTAAAAATAAAATACAAAAAAAAATAATTTGAAAAAAAAAACAAAAAATTCTTATCCCTTCTTCTTAACCTTTAAATAATAATAATAATAATAATAAATAATAGATTTGTATCATCACTCGGGAAAAAAGTTCTCATGTGTGATTTTAATAATAAAAAAAAAAAAATAAAAAAAAATTAAAATTAAATTAAAATTAAAATTTGTGTCAGGTTAATTTAAAATCCACAACCGGATTGAAAAGTCGTTGGTGACTCGCATTTTGAGCTTTTACGTATCCCCAATATTTCATAGCGGGTCCACATTTATTTTGTATGAGACGAACTTCTCTATGCATTAAATCTTGACGCCAGTGAAAAGGTGCCGATGCTGAATTCCTATAAGTGCTCGATACTCCTCCCACGTTGACCTATGAATATAATATATGTATAAAAAAAGGTTCATTTATTTCAACGTAAACAAAATGGAGAGGAGAGGGTAAAAGAGAGTTTAATTCAATTTAACGTACTTTTGTGTGTGTGTCTAAGAAGAAACGAACGTTCGGATGAAAATCCAAACCGTAAAAATTTAACAATTGATTAACCATTTTATAAGGATCGAGTGAAAGATCTTCGTATCTCATGGCTAAAAATCTATCCGGATATTTTTCAGTCAAACGTGAAGCAGCACTATAATCGGATACAAGATCCGCACAAAGTAAAGAAGCTTGATCGCAATCGCTGTTACCGGGACACCAGTCACGATGTTTACGGGATTGAAGAGTTCCCCTAGGATCTCTCACCAGCAACAAAACTCTAATGTTCAGTCTGAAAATTAAAATGTAATGTCATCTTATGTGTAAAAATAAAAAAATTTCATTCGAGTAAAAAACTCACCTTTCATCTTTTAACAATTCCTCGATTAATCTTAATCTCAATCGAACAATTTTCATGGATTGAAATGGGAAAAGGCTGCAAAATGAATTTAAAAATTCTGGCAACCAACAAAGGTTGGGATGTTGTTGACATTGTTCCCATAATCTAACATTATGGTTAAATAACCACACATGCTCCTTACCATAATTTAAATAATGATCTGTAATGAGTAGACACATAGAAAACATGAAATGAAAATTCAATGATAATAATTTCGTTTTGATTTCGAGAAAAAATGAAATTTACCCAATCCAGTATAATTACAATTGAGCAAATTTGACAATACATTTAATGCTTTCTGTGCATTTGGAGGACCTCGAATTTGAACAATACCAAAATCTAACAAAGGTTCATAATGATAATAATTTGCAGGATAACTGTTTAATATATCACCCAAAAATGTTGAACCAGATCTCCATGTTGTTACAATAATACTTCTAATGGGTTGTCCTCCCAATTCAGGAACTAATTCTGACAAGGCGCTGGAAAAAAATAATTAAAAATAATTTTAACTTTGATTGTGGTAGATGTGAGAGTTTTATTAAGATGATGTGGATTTCAACTTACTTTGAACTATTATACCTTGTCGAGTATTTATAACCTTTCATTTCATTTTGAATTTTATGTCTTTGTTCGTTAATAACGGCTAAAATTTCTAATGTAAGATTTTCCTCGAGTATATTGTAAAATAATGAATTATCATTTTTAGATGAAATGTCATCAATAACACTCCAACTTTGAATTGTTCTTCCGATTGTTTGAAAGGGTAAATATTCGAATGATGAAGAAGTTGCAAGACGATGGCTAACGAATATAATTAAAAGAAACACTGAACAGACTAGAATTATTCCAAACAAGCTGAATTTTTTCAACATTGTATTTGGTTTTCTGAAAAAAGAAAAAAATAACTCAAATAATTATGTGTTGGGTTATTCATCACATGATATAGGGCAGGACATTTAGGCAAAATTAATAAATGATAAAAATTTTTTTTTTAAATAAATACATAAAATTAAACACACACGCACCGAAAAGAATTTAAATATATTCTTAAACTCATTTTGTGACGAAAAATTTATTTATTTATTTATTTAATAAATAACATAATCACTTTTCAAATAAATTTCATTTTACCAAAAAAAAAAAAAAATAAAATAAAATAGTCATCATCAAGTAACATAAAATTTTAAACATCGATTTAAATAAATTAAATAATTAAATAATTTATTTTTCATTTTTAATTTTATTTAAAAATAAATAAATAAATAAAAACTATTTGATAATAAAATAAAATCAATAAATAAATAAAAAAAACGTTATGATATAAAAAATTTATAATATTTTTTAATAAATGACGCCTTTACTATAAAATGCTAAGTGGTTATTAATAATATTTTCTTATTCCACTGTGTCGTGGTACTAATAAAAATAAATCTTCCCGCCATTTTAAAATATTTATTTATTATCCATTAATATTTTTTCTTTTTTTTTTTTAATCTTTTTTGTGGGTTTTCACAATAGATCAAATTTTAATTTTGGCGCGTTAAAACAAATAATAATAATAATAATAATAATAATAATAATAAGAGAGATTAATAATAATAATAAATCAATTAAAAGTTGAAAAAATAAAAAACTACAATACTTAAAAGTTATTAATTAAATTTAAATAAACAAATAATTAAAATAAAATTTTAAAAAAAATTTAATTTTAAACGTTTTAAAAAGTAATCAATTAATGACGTCATCATGATGATAATAATAATAATTTTTAAAAATTGTAGAATTGCAACAACAACAACAACAACAAAAAATTAATAATAATCCACATGATTGTTTTATTTGGGATAAAAAAGTTTAACTTTTAATTATATATTTTTTTTAATAACTAATAATAATAATAATAATAAATTAAATATATAGTAAAATGAACTTTGACTCTTGCAGGAAGTTAAGTTAGGAAAATTAAGTAAGTTGGGTACACACAACGTTCAAGTTCAATTCAACATTTATTATTTATAATTAAAATTAAATTTAAATTTAATTAAATTTATTAAAAACATGTCCTTCTTCTTCTTCTCTTTATTTATTTCCTTTGATTTTTTTTTTTTTTTAGCCAAATGTGGAATAAAAATATTTAAATAAAAATAAATAAAAATAATAATAATAAGGACGAATGTGAAAGTTTGAGTGTGAAAAAAAATAAAGTTTTTTTTTTTTTTTTTTTTTTTTTAAGAAGATGATAATTTCATATGTAAAACAATCGTATAAGTAAATTCATTTTATTTTATAAACAGAGAGAGAGAGAGAGAAAAATCAAATAAATAAACTCAATCTATCCATCTTGTAACTAAATTTATTTATTTTATTTTGTTTACTAATATTAAAATATAAAATGTGATAACGGTATAAAAAAAAAACAAAATGAAGGATCTTATTTTTAAATAATTTAATGAGGTGTAAAAAAAAAAAAATAAACCACAAATAAATAATAATAATAATACATAACTTCCGTTCATTCGTTTGGAAAACGTTATTATAACTGTCCCCAATATTTATGTATATATTTAGCTTAAAATTATAAATAAATTTGAGAAAATATAAATCTTATTCGATTCACACACTTTTACAAACATAATAATAATAATAATAATAATAATAATAATAATAATAATAAACTCTATTCTTATTTACGAAACGAGAGTAATTAATTAGTGTATTTAATTACGTATATAAAGTTCAAGAAAAACCGTTATAATCATTTTCTTTTTAAATTATATTATAAATTATTATTAAAAACAATTATTATTATTATCATTTCTTAAAGTGATATTCTCTTTTAATAATCCATTGATAATAATAATAATAATTTAAAATAATAATAATAAAAATTTAAATAGATTTATATCGATTAAAGGATTATAGAAGAGATGAGAACGTACGTTTACTTATATAAATACCGACGAACACGATGATGATGATGATGATGATGATGATGATGATGATGATGATGATGATAATAAAAAGGAAGGGAGTAATCGTTTAAATATAATTTACTCTCATGTTTGAACTTAACAAACGTTGGGTCTTCGACCGAAAATTGCCCAAAGAAAAAAAAAAAATTTAATTTTTTTTATTATTGACCTTTATTATGAATCTCGCGACAAATATTAAAAAAAATTTTCTTTCTTTGATCAATTATTACAAATTGTTCGGTGGATTAATTAATAATCACGTTTATTATAAATAAATAAATTTTTATTTATTTATTAAAATAAAATGTAATATCATCTTTTTTTTAATAATAAATAAAAAAAAAAAAAATTAAAACTAGTTTGAAAAATAAAACAATTTTCTTTATATAAGGGAAGGTTAGTGAACTTGTAAACAACTTGGAAAAATATTTTTCTTTTGATTAATAATAATAATAATAATAATAATAATAATAACAATAAAATTATGTATTTATTTATTTATTTAAAAAAAAATTAAAATTAAATAATAATAATTAAAAGAAATTTTTTTATTTATTATCAATTTATTTAAGAATATGAAAGAAAAAAAATGGCTTCGTTTTAATTTTATGTAAGTTTAATAATAATAATAATAATAAATACACGGATTTAAACTTTCGCTTTAAATTTATGGTTTGAAGGCAAATTAAAAAAAAAAGGGGGGGGGGAAATTTGTTTTTAAGGTACGATTAATTTATCATCGTGTAGGTTATCATTATTTAAACATAAAATTAATTTTTTAAAAAGGCAAACGCCCCCCAAAAAAAAATTATCACGGAGTTAAATTAAAAATGATTTTGTCATCATCATCATCATCATCATCTATCATTATTATTATTATTAGATTAACATAAAATATATAATTCGAATAAAAATATATAAATAAAATATAAAACCGGATTTTCAATTGATTTCGTGATTTTTGTGACACGATTATTATCGTGACCCATATTTTTTTTTTTTTTGATTTTTCAAATAAAAAATTACGTGGCACGAGAAAAATGAAAAAATTATACGTGGAAGAAGAGGAGAAAAGTAAGGTTGACGTAGAAAAAAAAAATCAGTAATTAAACTATATTATTTGACGTCACATTTTACAATAAACCCGATACGTAATAAAAAAAAAAAGTTTTTTTTTTTTTGTCGCATTCGATATTATTCGTGACGTCATAATAACGGAAATTCGTTTAAAAAAAAAAAAGTAATTAGGATATCATATTTTCAATTTCGGCAACCGGAAACAAACGACGTCAAATTTTTTTTTTTTTTCTTATCGACTCAGTTAAAAAAAAAAATTATGTAACGAAACTAAGTTTAAAAAAAAAAAAATTTTTCGTGTCGATTATCATTATTTTACATTCGTTCATTTTTATTAATAATAATAATTATATAAAAATTTAGAACCTAAACCACATGAACCTGCCTGTACTCGTAGATAGATGAATATTTTTATTATCTTGTGTGATAAAACATAAAAAATAGGCTCGTTGGATTTTCAAATCAAAAATGGTGAAACCAAATTTTAAACCGTAAATTTTTTTTTTAACCGCATTTTTACTACGGGCATCATCATCATCATCATCATCATCATTATTATTATTATTTATAAGTCACTTAGCGTGCCATGGTTTTAATTTTTTTTTTATATCACGAAACCCCGATTTAAATATTTTTTATTTAAGAAATTACCACCCACCATTAAAAATATCTCTCTCTCTCTCTCTCTCTCTCTGTTTCCCTCTCTCCCTCCCTCCCTCTCTCTCTCTCTCTTTCACTCTCTCTTTTACTTTCCCTCTTTCCTCTTTCTCTCTCTCCCTCTCTCTCTCTGTTTCTCCCTCTCCCTCTCTCTCTCTCTCTCTGTTTCCCTCTTTTTCTCTCTCTCTGTTTCTCTCTCTCCCTCTCTCTCTCTCTCTCTTTGTTCATTTTATTATTAATAAATAGGAAACAAAAAAAAAAAAGAAAAAATTTTTTTTTATTGTTAAATCTAATCCGACCGACGTTATTTGACCTTTTTTTTTTTTTTACAATGTTGCGATTACGTTAAATTATTTATTTATTTATTCAACCATAATAATAATAATAATAATAATAATAATAATAATAATAATAATAATAATTGTTTGCATAAAAAATTAATAAATTTTTATTAATGTGATTTCGTCACCTCAATGAAAAATAAAAACTATTTAAATAATATTAACAAAAAATTATTTAATTTATTTATATTTAACAAACAAATTAACCATCCGCGAATATTTATTAATAATAATAATAATAGTAATAAACGTTATCGTAAGTTAAATATTAAAATTTTTTTAAAATTGTACAAAAATAAATTAAATTAAATATTTAATAAAAAGGCGAGACACAAAATTCAAAGTGAGATTTAAAAAAAAATAAAAAATAAGAAATTTGTCGCCGCCATTTGTAAATAAATTTTTCGAAAACAATATGGCGTAATTAAAAAAAAAAAAAAAAAATCTGATTTTCTGATTTTCTAATTTTTTATTCCGTCATTAAAAATTTTTTTTTAATATTTAATTTGTTATTTTGCATGCGATATGAATATATATATATATATTAATAATCGATAAATCGATTTTGTAAATAATCACGACGCCGTGTAAATAATAATAATAATAATAATAATAATAAAAAGAAGTGTGATCGTCGTAATCGTGACGTCATTTTTTTAAAAACGTTAAAAAAAATTACAATTAATAAATAATAATAATAATTATTCGTTTCAAACTTTATTTTTTGTTTTTGTAAGTATTCGTAAAAGTTTCTAAACGTGTTTTGGTTTTGTTTCAAAACTTTTTTTTAAATATTCGTTTGTAAATTTGTCGTCTGCTAACGAC